AACAGAGAATTGTTTGGAAGAAGAGATGGGCCTTTGTTGCTAAATTCAGAGTTGGGGAATTTTCATTAATTATGCTTAAGAAATGCCAGATTCCCTCTCAACCAAGTCTGTCCTCCTTTGCACTATAGATATGTTCAATATTTAACTCTTTCTAAGGCCTAACAGTCTTATTCTGAAAAGCTAGAATGATATTATGTACTAAAGGAGCTTTTTGCAAGGCAGCTCTAGGTCTGTCTGCTGAGCTGAGAGCATACATTGGGAAACATGAGGTAAGGTCAAAGAGAACTTGCTTTAATAAGCATAATCAGAACCCATACCTTTATCATCCTTTTCTAATCTTGGTTTAGAACTTTTCTGTTTTTAGAATCACATAATTCTGGTATGGATCCCAATGGGCACTGAGGCTGATTTGTCCTGGTGCAGAAATTCCTCCCAAGTATCCTCCTGCTCAAGGCCTAGGCTCCATATCTGCATCATCTCTGGCTTCTCCCTCTCTGGTGACCTCCAGAGCTAGTCAGGGGTCAGATTCTGCCTGTTTCTCCTCTATAATATCTTCCCTCTCTAATCCTACTACTCTGCCTGGCTCATGCCTTATATACTTCTTATAAACTCTCCTAACTTCTTCCTGTTGCTACATCCTACACAGTTGTAATGCACACCGGCTGTGAGCATACGGGGCTCAAGGAAGGGAGGACCAAGGAGGCTAATAGTAGGATGGAGAGGTCTCTTGGGGCTGAGCTTGAAGGCCTAATGTTGTGACAGTCTAGATGTTGGAAGTAGGACCAATGTGTGGAAAGGAAACAGAAGCAGACTGTGGTTCAGAATAAAGAAAACTATATACCTGTTAGGACTATCCAACAGTGGAGGCAGGGATTTTGTGAAGTGCGAGTACATCTCTGGAGATTGAGAGATCAGGACCACAGAGAGAATATAGAGGAGGTAGCACAGGCTTAGAGGACACCCATTGATTTGGAGTTTGTGGCAGAACATTTATATGTAAATCTCTTTAAAAATGAGAACTCACTATCTTCACAGATGATATGGATAGAGTTGGAAATCTGGGAATCATCCACCCAGAGAGGATAACTGAAATTTTGAATATGGATAAGGTTGCTCTAGGTGAAAGAGAGAAGAGGGCCAAGAGCTGTGTCTGAAAACACACACTTGCACACATGCAGACACACATAAACACTGTGTATCAGGAAAGGAGCAGATGTTGGAGAAGAAAGAGTATAATGTCATATACACCATGCAAGAGCCTGTTCTAGGAAAGAGGGGTGATAATTACAAGTATCAGACACTGCTAAGAGATCAAACTAGTCAGAGAGACAAGGCCATTGGATTTCGGACAGGTGTCATGCCTGTATAACTACCTCTATCTACCACTAGCCCTAGAGATTGTTGACATTAAAATAAGAAAATGTATGCAAGGTGCTCTGCATAATGGTCATTCACCAAATAATGGTTATTAGAGCCACTCTATTTGATATGAAGAAAAGAAAGGATACATGCAGTCTTTTAGGGGGGGAAACAAAGATGGTGGAACAGAAACAGCTAGGAAGTGCTGATCTGTAGCACATTTACTTCCTGATGGGTTTTGGCTTGTTTCTGTCTGATGAACCTATGCTTATGGTTGCTGCATGGGTTCTCAGCAAGTATGCCTACATGTGTATATGTGCACATGTGTGCACCGCATGATCCCCAGGATGGACAGGACATGGGCAGCAGCAAGACCAGTGTTGTTTTCCTCATTTCCAGCTTCTATGCCAGGGCTCTGTGCTTCTTCCAGAAGGATGAGTGCCATAGATTGAAGAATGAGAATTCTATTTCCAGAGCAATTAAAGACTTGGCAGAGGGCCAGGCGCGGTGGCTCACGCCTGTAATCCCAGCACTTTGGGAGGCCGAGGCAGGTGGATCACGAGGTCAAGAGATCGAGACCATCCCGGTCAACATGGTGAAACCCCGTCTCTACTAAAAATACAAAAAATTAGCTGGGCATGGTGGCATGTGCCTGTAATCCCAGCTACTCAGGAGGCTGAGACAGGAGAATTGCCTGAACCCAGGAAGCGGAGGTTGCGGTGAGCTGAGATCACGCCATTGCACTCCAGCCTGGGTAACAAGAGCGAAACTCCGTCTCAAAAAGAAAAGAAAAAGAAAAAAAAAAAAAGACTTGGCAGAGATGGTCAAAAGGGGTGTCCACAGTGTAAATTGGGTTGGAATCCTTCAAACTACATACTACTACTTATTTCTCTTCAGGGTGCCTGAATAGCTGTTAAGAATAATACCTTAATGGTAGAACAATGACCCCACCCAGCCTGATATCACAGCAATATGCCCCTTTGACAGATTATAAAGAAATTATCGAAAAGTATTTTTAAACCATTACTTTAATACAAGAGAGGTCAGATCCTTTTATATAGTGAGTGGCTATACTTTCTTATAAATTGCCATGTGGCTTTTAGCTTCTTTATATAGTCAATTACAGGTACCTGCACACACTGTAACTCTGAGCCATGATTCTGGGGCTGAAGTTCTGCTCTCCTTGAAATGTGATGAAATCTGCCTGTTGCCAAGATACTCTGTAGAAATCTCTTCCATTTGCAGCGGCTGACATCATAAGAAGTTTGCAAAAGAAAGAAATATATTTCACCTGATGACATTAGAGTTGCTTCTCTGTGTTTGCATTTGACCTGATTGGAATTACTTGAGTTTTCAAGTTGTGACCTTCCCAAATATTAACTGGCAGAGCTTGAGCAGCCATCTTGGCAGACATGCAGTATTTTCTAAGGCAGAAGACAAAGGGGTTTTTCATCCATTATTAATTGATGTTACTCTTTTCAGCAGACCAAACATGATTCTACTATACAGCTGCCAAAATTGTTCCAGACCCAAAAAAGATTAAGTCATTCATGTTCAAGTATTTCTTATTATTTACCTAACTTAACCATATTTCCTTCAGCTTTTCAGCCTGATTTTGGGGGCCTATTTATATACTAATTGGTATATAGCAATTGGATATCTTTTATGAGCAGTGCTCCCTGCCATTCTGGTATTACTGTGGAAAACTCTAAGAAAGCAGGGTTATTCCAAAGGAATGTGAGAGTTTTGCCAAAAGAGAAAATAACCCCTAAAACCATTATGCATGATCCATAGGTTGCAAGTTGCAGGCTAGGAATTGTGTGTCTCCCAAGGTATTGCCTTGGTGTCCAACAGGTATTACTAGAATTTGACTACTTCTTCCTCTCTTCCCCTTCACCTCCATGTCTCTGCAATTTGTAGGTATCCAATTGGTTTGGCAACAAACGAATCAGGTACAAGAAAAATATCGGCAAGTTTCAGGAAGAAGCCAACCTCTATGCTGCAAAGACCGCCGTGACAGCTGCACACGCAGTAGCAGCAGCTGTGCAGAACAACCAGACCAATTCGCCCACCACACCAAATTCGGGTGCGTACGGTGGGGGGGGCTCGCTCCCCAGTTGGCCCACACAGCCTTATGCCACAATGCCCTGTCCCACAAGCCGGGAAACAAGAGCCATACTGAGGACACAGTGGACTTATAAAGGAAGATTTGTGTTCAAATGCAGGCTTGTTCTTGATATGGGTGAATGAGTAGACGGCCAGAATCTGTAAACCCACTCTTCACAGTGAGTGCCGCTCACTAGTAGGTTATGGAACTTCTACACTTAGTAGTGGCTTTCAGTTCAGCAATTAGGCAGAGTGCTATCGCTCATGATCATTTTAGCTGTCTCAATCCAGGTATCACTTTAGGGTCAGTAGTGGTCTGTGGAGAGTGAAATAGCAGAAGTGGGAAATGCAGCAGTTGCTGTGCGTGAGGAAGCTGGAATGCTGGAGGGAAGTGCAGCAGTGCTTTCTGCCCAGCGCTGCTGTCCTTTCTGGGCCTTTCAGCAGCACTGTGTAAGCGGGGCTGACAGTATGCTCAGCAGGTGGCTAGTGATGAGGGTTATGGTACTTAATACATGGATACAAGATTCTTGGCTCCTCATCTGATACATTTTGGTCACATTTTATGTGACATTTGTGAGGGGGTTAGAAATACTTTAAAATTTCAGGGAACTTGAACAACAATGAAAGATGTGCAGCTAGTCCAAACAGACTGGAGTAGCAGTTCCACGGGCTTTTCTGAGGTCTCCTAAATATATCTTTAGAAGTTCAGAAAGTAGGGTTTTTTTGTTTGTTTGCTTTGTCTTGTCTCCTCACCCCCTAGTCCTTTTTAGTGACACATGAAAACAGATGAAAGGAGAGGGAGGCATATAGCTAAGAAAGAGCTCCTGGGAAAGTCTCTTTTCTGGGTGGCTGTCCACTGTGACAGTTAGTGATGTTGACGAGCTCGTAATAACCAAGTCCTGGAGATCAGTGGAAAAAAAGGAAAGCATCCAGGTCAGCTTGGGTGTTTTGGTTTCTTTTTTCTTCTTAATTTATTTTGATTTGTCTCTTCGTTTCTGTTTTTGTTTTTTAAATTTGGGCTTCCCCATTGATAGGACTTCTCCTAGATGTAGAGTAAATCATAGACCCTCACTCTCTGGAGTTCTCCATCCTCTTAGATCTGGAAATGCTTTATGTTGTGCACAGCCTTTCCCTTCTGTACTCTCCTCTTCTCCCTGCCTCTAGGTCTTTGAGGATTATGTGTATAGCTCTCTGTTATTCAGCTACTTAACTCTTTCCTTTCCAGGTTCTTCTGGTTCTTTTAACCTCCCAAATTCTGGGGACATGTTCATGAACATGCAGAGTCTGAATGGGGATTCTTACCAAGGGTCCCAAGTCGGAGCCAATGTGCAATCACAGGTAGGAGAAGTGCCCTAGTGGGGCCTTTCTAGCAGGGCAGGGTTTGGGCTCAAAACTCCTTCCTCTGACCCCACGGAAGTGGTCTGCATATCCATGCAGAACCTGTGCTGGGTGCTTCCAAACAGGACCCATCTGCCCCACCATTTAATTTAATGAGAAGTCAAGTGAACAGTGACTTGTGATGATTCAAACGTGATAAACTTTGTGAATGCATTCGGCTCTGGCTTGAGCTCATGGAGAGGGGTTGGGTGCATCTTACTTTTGTCATAAAATAGAACAGAAAAATTGAGAATGCCAGTATGGATATAGTTTAAGAACATACTGCTCTTGCATTTTTTACATCAGAGTGCAAAAACCTGAGTTCTTAAATTATAACTCTGTAATTTCTACTCTTTCCTTGTCCTCTTAATTGAGAACAGAACTACTCATATAGTTTTTATGCATGTAGATGAGTGTGTATGAGACAAAGTGTGAGGGGGGCGTGGAGAGAGTTCTATATACACAGTTCTAAGTAGGTTTTCACCCATAGCCACATGCACTTGGTTGCTGTAGATGGAAAGTTGCATTGCCATGAAGATATTCTTATTTGGCTAGCATGAAAAACAAAGATTTGTGAGTTTAAATATGCAAAGAATGGTTGAAATTCTGCCAGTCACATTTGATTGATAAATTTGTCTTTCATTGAAGATGTTAAACCCTTATGGCACACATAATTCAAATTATTTCCTTTTGTAAGTGATGATGTTTTAATAGATTTGGGATGATGAATTTTGTTTTGTCTAATTTCTAGGTGGATACCCTCCGTCATGTTATCAATCAGACGGGAGGCTACAGTGATGGCCTTGGAGGAAATTCACTGTACAGTCCACATAATTTAAATGTGAGTACTCTGGGGAGCCAGCTGTAGGAGAACAGTGTCAGGTAAACAGTGACTAGTAAAGAAATTAATAGCCATTTGACCTGGCTTCTCATCTTACTGGCAGGTAGGGAAGGCAGTGTCTTTGCTGCACTTTTATTCTAAGAACCTAAATGCTTGATGCCACCCAGATGCCCTTAGAAGTCCTCCCAGATGCCCAGAAGTGGCTGGTATCCTGGCATCAGCAGGGACTTAAGCATCAGCCCATTAAGATGCCATTTCTTACCTTCAGTGCTGTGTTCCAGGGAAACGGTAGAAAACAGGTCATTTATCTTAGAACTAGGCAGCAGGAAAAATTCCCAAACAGAGCTCAGGTGAAGGTGATAAGTTTGGAGGATTCCAGGCAGACCAACAAACCAAGCTAAACAAAGAATTCTGTTATTAAAAGCATCCTGCTGTTATTGTCAAGGTGGGATGCAAACATACTTGACAATTTTAATTATGGAGGAAATAACTTTAACTTTGTAATCACTTCACTACAACTTTACCTTTCCTGCCACTGACATGGATGGAAAATGGCAAAACACACAGCTCTGGAATCGGGGGGAAAGAGGCAGGGATCAGGTCATCATGGTGGTGCCGTGGGGTGTGGTGGATGGAGTCTGGGTTTCCAGACTTAGGAAGGAAATTAACTGCCCAGCTCATGGTAGTAGACTCAGGAAGAAAATGGGCAAAATTCTCCCTTTTTAGGGCCTTGGCTTGCTATGAGAGTAAATATTAATGATTTAAAAAGTGATTGAGGATGTTCAATTGTAAAGGGAAAAAAGGACCATTAAATACTCAAATCTTTTACATTTGAAATGTCAAATCTTTCTTTTTGGGCTTATAAATAACTCATAATAACCCACAACAAACCATATAAAAAGCCTTTTAGTTGCATTTCTCCTTTTTCATTTAAGTGTTTTGAAATGCTTCAGAGAATGTGCGATATCCTTATCAACATGATAAAATATGAAACTGTGATTGCCTGCAGCATTTTACAGACATGAATTCCATCTTCACTGATGAGGCTTGATAAGGCGCTGTTGTATAATACAGTGCATAATCTCAAACCACCAGAGTAAGGATTAATTTATTTTGAAAAAAAAAGAATGCTTGCTGACAACCTCTCCTCCAGCTGCCACGCTGGGTAAAAATATTGTACATTTGTTGTTTATAAATTTGGATAAAAGAGGAATGATGTTTACTTCAGATGGAATATCTTTAGACTTGTATCTGTGTGAGAGTTTTTCTTCTCCTAAGTAGATTTTCACACCTGAGGGGGGAAACAGCTTACCTTTTAGATAAAGCAGAGGATTTCTGAGAGTCTACCAAACACACACGGGGATGTTGTTAGCCAACCTGGCACAACAGGCTTTAAAACAATACCACCATAGCTTTTTTTTTTTTTTTTTTTTTTTAATTAAATATTGTTTCCTTTTGTTTTTCCTAACCTGAATTTGATATGCCTCAAGCTTGGAAAGTCCTCTTCCCTTTGGCTCTGGTCATCTCTGTGGGGTTGTTAGGTTTTTCCCTCCTTTTCCCTGGGTCATAGAGGTAAAAAAGGTGCTTTGCATGCAGAACTCTGCAGTGAATCAGAAGACAGGGAGTTCTCCAGGAACCGTGATCACAGGAGAAGAAACAATGCTGGCACATACTCATCTAGGAGCTGTATCCAGACTGAGCAGGCAGTCTAGACAGAGTTCCCAGCAGCCTGACGGCCCAGGCCTTAAAGAGGGCATTTTGGATGGACTCCTAGAAGAAGTTGCAAATAGATGTGAAGGAGGCAGGGGCACCTTATGACCCACCTTGACATTGGTGTGGGAGTTCTGGGTCTGGGGCAGCATACAGGCAGAGGTTGGTTGGTGCTGCAGGCTCAGGGTGTCAGCCAGCTCACCCTCGCCTCCTCTCTAGAAAGGCCTGCCCCGTCACTTCCACTCAGTGTTCCCCAACTCACGAGGCCAGCACCTCCCTCTTCTTGACTGACATAAAAATATGCAGCGACAAGCTGTCTGCCACAGCAGAAATCTGATCAGACATTGATTTCAGCAATTGCCACTATAGGCCAAGACATAAGGCAAATTTGTTTCTGAGTATGGTTATTGCTGCTGCAGGTCTGAGGCAGGAAGGGCCAGCAGCATGTGGAAGGTGGGAGCAACATCCCAAATAGGAGCCTCAGCCACAGATAATTGGAATACAGATTTGAACAGTGTGTGCTCCTCCACAGCTCATGCATTTTCATTCTAGAAGATCCTATTTGGAGGGAAATTCTGGACTTCACTTTCCAAGGGTTATAGTAGCTAGCTGTCAGGCATGTATGGAAAAAGGGTGGGCAACTGCCTCTCTGTGGAAATGATGATTAAGCTGGGGTGAAGTTTAGACTTCATGGAGCCCAGGGTTTCACCAAGGCATTGTATTGAGCTTCTGCACTGCTCCCTTCTGAAGAGATTTCTTTTTGAGTCACTTTAGTTTTACCAGCAGATCAAAGGCCGAGCTTGATGCCACTGTGGGCCTCGCTGAAGCCCTTCTTCGGCATGTTGATTTATTGCCAAGTCTTTACTTGATGAGATGGATTTGTTTTACATGCATTTAATCCCACTTTAACACATGCTGCCAGCTCCTGCCACAGTGAGTTTAGAAAATACATTTTGCTAATGCATTTCTGCTCTCATATTGTCATCCGGTTGTTTTAAATTGGGGAGTAGAATTAATATGTAGACGTGCACCCATTGAACTGTGTTTCTCCTTTCAGGCTAATGGAGGCTGGCAGGACGCAACAACTCCATCTTCTGTGACTTCTCCTACAGAAGGCCCAGGAAGTGTGCACTCGGATACCTCTAACTAATCTCTGGCCACACTTTTCCCTGGGCTGACATGCCTTGATAAGTGCATTCAGAGCAATAGGAGGAAAAGGAAAGCGTTTTTGTAGCCCACCATCTACAGCTTTACTGTAAAACCTTGTCTTAGAGAACTTGGTAAATCTGTTTTTTAAGGAATCATAATCATTTGTATTTATACTTAAAAACACACAATGTTAAAAAAAAAAAAAAAAAAAAGCACTTTATCCAATTAGGCCAAGATTTAACATTGTTGACAGTCCTGTAGCTATTTTATCATAATTTATTATCAATATTTTACATTAATGGTTTCACAGTTGCCAATTACTTGGCCTTAAGGGTAAAAAGTACAATATATGCTAAACCTCAATCGTTAAAGCAGATGCAAAAATTCACCTCACCTAAATTGAATTTCTTGCATATTTCCATTCCTGACTCGGATTGTCTTTCTTTCATATCACTAATAGAGCTGGAATGAAGAGCTGTTTGGCTCTCTCTGTTAACGATGGTTGTGTTTAAGAATCTTCTCGCCACATTTGTGTTCAGATCTCTTACGTTATAATTAGATCAGAGACTGGTAGCATCGTTTCTCTCTCTGAAAGCACCAGTGCCCAGAGTCTGCTCGGTAATAAAATTATGGATCCAGATTGTTCTGAGAGATGAAGATACTTGCTGCTGATAGAGGTGAAAACGAGATCGATCCATCTGAGGTTTTACGGTGTGCACTGGGTGCTGCACAGACTTGTCAAGGTTTGCTACGTTCTCTGGGCATCCGCAGAAGGCCCTGCTCTCTGGAGTGTTGTATATAGTGTAGCAAAAGAGTATTTATACATCCCACCAATCAGAACACAGCTTTATTACCTCATGCGAACTCATACAAACCAATAGAATTTCAACATGTTCTGTAGCTTAGAGTGCTCACTTACTACCTCTGAACAATACTCACGCTGTAGTTTGTCTCTTTCTTATCTTTTTGCATCTTGTAATTAACTCTTTGTTTCCCTTCATAAAATGTAATGTACATTGTAATCTTTTAAAAGAAAAATCAGGGTTGCGTTTGCAACTTTTAAAAAACCGAAAGTGGAAACATTGGGTCTTAATTCAACACAGGATCAGAAAAACTGTTGTAAATACTGAGAAACATTTTGAATGTTCTTCATCTTATTACTAATTCATGCAAAAAAAAAAAAAAAGCAGCGACTAATTGTGATGCATTAAGATTTCAGTATTCAGTACTGTATATTTCACCCTGTGTAATGGGGCCCCCTCTCCTTTCTCTCTTTTTGTATGGTATGCGATTCTGAAACTGATTGAGTCATGAAAATAATTTGTGGCGGTGATCCTAATGTATTAAAACGTTTCGTGTTCCTTTCTAACTGGATTACACCCTGGATTGAAAAAGTCTTCCTTGTGGTAGTTATATGTAGTTTCAAACATGAATAAACTTTTTGCTTTCATGATTAAATGTTGATGCAGTTTCTTACTTCACTATTTGAGCCAGCCAAGTACAGGCAGAGGAGAAAGTGCACCCAGCTCCAGGGCTGGGAGTGTAACTGGCTGCCTGTCGGAGGCCACTCTGAGATGACGGTGAGGCTGGGAGGGAAGGAACAGCTGCTGTGGAGTGTGCAGGCGCCATGCCACCTACTGGACTTTGTTAGGAGTCCTCACTTGATCCTGATGTGCTCAGTAACACCACAGGGAAAACTTTATCCCTATTTTCATAGATTAGGAAACTGAAGCTCAGGAAACTTAAGTGAATACCACAAGGTCACAGACCTAGGACAGCAAGGGGTCACACCTTGAACCCAGGCCTCTGCCCTCAGCTTACATGCCTGACCTAATGATGCCTTTGGCACTTATTAGATGGATTTTTTTTTCTTTTGGAGATGGGGGTATACTCTGTCACCCAGGCTAGAGTATAGTGGTGTGAATGTGGCTCACTGCAACCTAAAGCTCCTGGGCACAATCTTCCTCCAACCTCCTGAGTGGCTAGTACTACAGGTGTATACAACCATGCCTGGCTAATTTTTCTTTTTTTGTAGAGACAGGGCTTGCTGTGTTGCCTAGGCTGGTCTCAAAGTCCTGGCCTCAAGCAGTCCTCCTACCTTGGCCTCCCAAAGCTCTGGGATTACAGGTGTTAGCCACTGCACCTGATTGAAAAGATTTTTTTAAATTCACTTTCCTTTGTTTTTTAGAGATGGATACTGACTGTGTTGTCCAGGCTGGTCTCGAACTTCTGGGCTCAAGCAATCCTCCTGCCTTGGCTTCCCAAAGTGTTGGGATTACCGGTGTGAGCCACTGCATCTGGCACACATTCACTTCTTCACCTTTAACTTCTTTAACTACAGTTAAAGACGAACAAAAGTTTGGAAAGAATGAGCATCAGATGCCATTGAAAACACAGAATCCCTGCAGTATCCAACATACCTGTTTAAACTCTGAATTCCTAATCTTGCAAGGCCAATTAAAAATCTTTTAACATTGTGTTTTCTTCAAATTGTTAGAAATTCCGTATGTTTACATATACATCTGTCGCTAATACCTAAATCTTTACAATAAAAGAGGTCAATGGCAGGTAATTGGCCTGTTTACTATATCTCAAGGAAACTGACTCACAGGAAATCAGATTAGTGTTAATTAGTTGCAGCAAATTGTCTATGATAAATACAACTGTTTGACTCTTTCAGTTGGTAGAGCCAGGCAAAACAAGGTCTAGGGCCACCATTCCCGTTAATCTCCAGGCAGTTACACTGTGAGGGTAAACTTTATAAAACAGATTGCCCTCCAAAGCCGTCCTCCCTCACTTGGTGCTCAGCCTGCCTGTAGGAATTGCTCCCATGGCTAAATAGTTATTTGCGTGATTCAGTTAGCTTGTGGGTCAGCCTTTCTCATCTTTGTAAATAAAACAATCTATGCTATGTGGTTTGGCAAAAATATACTGTGGGGACATAATACATATGCACATCCAAATTCATCTTTAACATCCCAAAGCAGACACTTCCGCAGAACTACCTTGTGTTTCACCTTGGACCAGGGTGTGGAGAGAAGCACACACTAGGGCTTACGGGAGATTCACACGTTGACTAGCAAGCCCTGAGGGAATTATGGGCATCTCCTTTATCCTAGGGAGGCTGAAATGAAAGTAGCAGTGCTTTTCCTATGTGCTGTTAGGAAGCACGTGCATGTTTTCTTTCTTCACTCCTCACCACCTCTCTGCGAGGGTAGAAGCATCCTCCTTCATAGGTGAGGAAACTGGGCCACCATGCAGACCCTCTGGACCAGCCTCTGGTGCCCCTTGGGGTTTGTAAAGCTCTCCGGACATGGGGACTGTGCTATGTCTGGAGACATAAGAAACCCTGTTCTTATGTCTCCAAATTGGGTGAAATCAGTCGTTGATTTTAATAGATTTCCACCAGGTACATTTTCTGCATCAAGCAGTGGGTTAGAGGCTAGACTCAGAGATGAGTGAAACCGGACCTCCTCGGCCTAGCCCTTCTTGCTCAAGAAGCCAACACTTAGAGCATTGGAAAGCCTGGTGGGCTTCTGAGCCCTAGGACTGGAGAAGTGAGAGTCCCAAAACCCATTACAAGATCAAAGAGAACAGCAGGAAACTGCTGGAAATACCCAGCCACGGGCAAAGGGCCTGTCCACATTCCGCTTGATGCACAAGAACGTGTGCTTACTTAAGAGTCCGAGTGTGTTCACAAGCGTGTGGAGCCCGTGGGGACGTGGGGATGGGTAAAAGGCTTCCACTAGGAGTGCGCAGGTGGTGCGGGAGTCTCTAAGTCTGTCGGACCAGGTGGCCTTGAAAACCAGGTTTGGGCTTTTCTGTAGCCTGCAAACTGAACAATGTCCTTGTGCCATTCCCTGGGCAGAAGTGGGGGTGGGAGGGGACGGCTTTCTAGAGAAGTGAGGAAGTACTGTCAGGCTGCGTCTCCCAGGTCGGGTGAAATTCGTGCTGGTGCCTGAAGAAAGGAGGGCCTCCCCCCACCAGGCACTGCCCACATAGTGTCTCATTTAATGCCTGTGGAGCCTTACCAGGGTGCTATTCTCTTATCTTCCCATGGAGACTGTGGGGCTTGAAGAAACAACACCACCTGTCCAGAGCTAGGGTTTGCCCTGGGAAGTCCCCATGTGCCACATTCGGCAGCCACTAGTGTCAGACAGGCTCTGGTGAACTTGGGCCATCAGGCCTGCAGTATGAGGTCCTGTCTGGGGCGAGGTGACCAGGGAAATCACCCCTGCTTGCGGCTCTCCCGTACATGCCTCAGTTCACTGGGCCACCTGAATATGGGGGTCCTATGAGGTGTGTGTGTGTGTGTGTGTGTGTGTGTGTGGCATGCATCACAGACTGGGTGTGTGGTACTGTGTCCATGGATCATGGGGTTGGAAGTGAGGAAGAGGAAGACCCCCTTTTCTCCACCTAGGCTGGGCTGGGCCTGGCGGCACTAATGGGGACAAACAGAGCACCTCCCTGGGAGGGCAGCTGTCACAGTGAAGGTTCTGGAGCCCAGCAGCATGGATTTAATCCCTGGCAGCTGAAGTTCTAAGGGCAGGCCTGGGCACATTTGCCACATGTACTTTATCATGGGTAGAATTCTGCCTGGGCTTGGGTGTGCCCCTGTGCCCCTGTGGGTGTATTCCCAACTCCCAGGCTCTGCCCTGCTCAGCTCTGGCTGCAGTCTCCTTAGCTTTCCCGGCCATGCAACCCACTCTGGGTTTAAACATCCCCAGGTTCTGGAGCCCAGCTTTTTTTTTTTTTTGAGACGGAGTTTCGCTCTTGTTACCCAGGCTGGAGTGCAATGGCGCGATCTCGGCTCACCGCAACCTCCGCCTGCTGGGTTCAGGCAATTCTCCTGCCTCAGCCTCCTGAGCAGCTGGGACTACAGGCACGTGCCACCATGCCCAGCTAATTTTTGTATTTTTAGTAGAGACAGGATTTCACCATGTTGACCAGGATGGTCTCGATCTTCTGACCTTGTGATCCACCCATCTCGGCTTCCCAAAGTGTTGTTTTGTTTTGTTTTGTTTTTGAGAGTCTAGCTCTTGTCTTCCAGGCTGAAGTGCGGTGGCACGATCTCAGCTCACTGCAATCTCTGCCTCCCAGATTCAATTGACTCTCCAGCCTTAGCCTCCTGAGTATCTGGGATTACAGGTGCTTGCCACCACACATAGTTAATTTTTTAGTGTTTTTAGTAGAGATAGGGTTTCATCATGTTGGCCAGGCTTGTCTCAAACCTCTGACCTCAGGCAATCCAACCTGCTCGACCTTCCAAAGTGCTAGGATTACAGGCGTGAGCCACCACGCCCAGCCCAGAGGTAGATTTGAATCCTGACTTCACCTCCTACCAACTGTGTAATCTTGGGCAAGAGACTTAAGGAAGGAGCCTGTCCTCTTGCTCCCTGTTCTCGGAACATTCTTCTGTACCCTCTCCCCCAGTGACTGCCTGTCCTTCAAGGCCAAGCCCAGATCCCTGTGCCCTCTGGCAGAGCCCATCCTTGCAATCCCCTTGTGCAGCAGTTTTTATCCCTACTGGATATCCCAGCAGAGGCGCTACAGGATTGGGAAAGTGAGGAGCCAGGGGGTGGAGGGGCAGGGAGGAAGCAGGGGGCACAGGGAAGGGTGTGCCAGGGAAGCTAGAGAGGCAGGAGGCAGGAGATGCTGGCTCTGTAGCTGGTCCCAGACCCTCTCTTGAAATGCCCATGGTGACTTCCCATGGAAGGCGTAATTATCATCTCCATTTCACAGATGAGGAGACTGGAGCCACTTGGCCAAATACACAGAGCCAGAATGTCAATCTGAAGCCTAAACTCACATTCTTTTTCTTTTCTTTCTTTCTTTCTTTTTTTTTTTTTTTTTTTTGAGATGGAGTTTTTTTTTTTGTTGCTGCTCTACCTCCCAGGTTCAAGGGGTTCTCCTGCCTCAGCCTCCTGAGTAGCTGGGATTACAGGCTCATGCCACCACGTGTGGCTAATTTTTTTTTTGTATTTTTAGTAGAGACAGGGTTTCACCACGTTAGCCAGGCTGGTCTCGAACTCCTGACCTCAGGTGATCCACCTACCTCAGCCTCCAAAAGTGCTGGGATTACAGGTGTGAGCCACCGCGCCTAGTCAACTCACATTCTTATTCCTTAGCGCCTTACTGTCTTGTCAGTGTCTCTCTCATCACGCTGGGTCTGCAGGCTCGCTATGAGCCTTAGGTGAGGGCAGAGTGGAGAAGGGGAAGAATGCCAGTCTCCCCCCAACACCCCATCAGAGCCATTGTTGCCTCTCCCCAGCAGCTGAGGATCCCAGAGATACCCTCAGGAAGGCTGCTGTGTCCACAGATGCTTCTGGCCAACAGGAGGCCTGCAACTGGTCCCTGCTGAGTCCGGCAACCCAGCCATGGACAACCAGCACGACCACTACCAGCCCAATGACCTGTCTGTGGCAGACTCAGCCATGTGCAGGGGGCCCGCTTCCATC